GAGTGTATAACCTTAAATTTTGGCAATATAAAAATGCCAGAGCTTTCAAGTCTGCTCCCAGGGTCCCTAGTTCTTCCTTCTCTCAGTCAGGTAGGCTTCAGATCCTTTGAAGTTATCCTCTTCTCAAATTGTCGTTTTCTCATTCCATTGCTACTGATGCCATTGGTAACTGGGGAAGCTTTGTGCTTCTTGGGCTGCAAGTCATTCCAGTGTAAACTTACCACTGCATGCCCTCTGCTTGTCACTCTTTACCTGAGGACATAAGAAAAGTTTGCAGATCTGATGAGCAGAAGTCTTCACAGTTCTGAAGTTCCCAGCCTTATCTCTTCCCAGTTCTCCCCTTCTCCACAGTACTCCTGCCAAACCACAATGATCATATCTCTTAGGCACAATCCTGAATGCTTTGGATCCTCCCTTTCTTTCTTGTCTCAGTTTGTTGTTGTTTTCCAAATAATAAAGCCTTACTCACTCTTTGCCAGTCAGCTTGAAAATGTCATCATTCAATATGCTCACCCTTTTTCCACCACGTACCAGAAATGTCATAAAAATACACTACCAAACCAACAAACAAAACAGTTGCAGTGAGAGAAAGGCCAATTCACCATTTATTATTGTTATTGTTTAAAAGTTGATTTGCTTTACCACACGAAATATCCATATTTCTTGACTTGCTGAATATTTGTCCTTTAATTTTTGTACTTTTAAAGTCCAGATATCTATGCTGTTCTGATATCATTTTTACCACAACTATGACTTTAAAGCTTTAAACATGTTAAAGGAAACTTTGAACACCCGTTTAGCCAACCTCAAGAAATAAATTATAATTTAATATATTTCAATTTGTTAGGAAAGATCAGTGTATAATACTTTCTTTTCTATGAAAAAAATACATTCAACAAATATGCAGAAAATGTTGTATTTTTTAAGAGTTTGTTTGAAAGGCAGAGTTTGAGAGAGAGAGAGAGAGAGAGAGAGAGAGAGAGAGATCTTGCATATGCTTGTTCACTCACCAAATTGCAGCAACAGCAGGAGCTGGACCAGTCTGAAGCCAAGAGTCAGAAGACTCTTCCAGGTCTCCCATGCCAGTGCAGGGGCCTGAGCACCTGAGCTATCCTCTGCTGCCTTCCCCAGGCACATTAGCAGGGAGCTGGATTGGAAGTGGAGCAGCCAGGACTTGAACTGGCGCCCACATGGGATGCTGGCGTCACAGGCGGCAGCTTTACTCGCTACACCACAATGCTTGCCCCCAAAAACTGCTGTCTTTTTAACAAATCACTTCACTTTGTCACTGAACGCAAACACATATATGAAACTACTTGCTTTCCTGTAGCAACTTCTAAAGAGAAAAATGTATTTCTTCATTCATGTAGGAAAGGTGTTGACTTGTATTATAAAGTCTACTGATAGATTGAAAGCTATTTGAATACAGGTACAATGTCTTGAGAATTTTTGCATTCTTTATAGTGTGTAATAGTGTTTTATGAATAGTAGGACTTTCATAATTTTTTTTTACTTGAAAAAATACTGAAAACTCTTCTGAAGTGATAATTCTTGCTAGTAAATATTAAATTGAGAGGTAATAATTAATAAGTTTATGACAGCCAGCCCTGTCCCACATACTTTACAATGTAATGTATTTAATAATCTTTTGTGGTGTTACTTATTACCCTTTTCTGAAGGGGGAGGCCAAGAGAAGCTAAGTATCTTGGTCAAGGTCACATCACCACTAAGTGTTGATCAATATCTGAACCCGGCAGGCTGTCTCCAAAGCCAGTATTCTTATTTTCAGCACTAAATGACTTACTCTTTATTATTTTAACAGAAAAATCACAATGATCCATATTTAACTAAAGAGTAGATTCCTTCTGAAGTTAATGTTGAAGTTCATTCCAGTACATTGTCCTGGCCTTTTCACTGTTAAAAGGTTCTTTGGTGCTTATTTGAACCAGATGCAAACACTTAAAACATCCATTCACATTGTGTTTCCCTATGATTTGCTGAAATATGTCAGGTTGCCTCCAGGAGACCCATTTCTAAGTGACTGTCTGATTTCATTCGAATTGCTGTTCCGTTACAGACCTGCAGCTTCATGGGTCTATTAAAGCATGGTCGGGCAGAGTTCTGTTAGCATCTCTTTGCCAACATTCTGTCTCTGTATGTCGTGGAATCCTTTAGCACAGCCGTGAGAAGAGATTGGGTGGGTTTTTCAAAGCACAATTTCTTTTACCAAGCCTGTCGGTAAGATACGATGACAGGCTAATGGTAGTGCAAAGTTTATTCTCACATACTTTTAATTCCAAGAATTATTAATTGGGAGTTACTTAAAAGCCCTTGCCTTTCAAGTTATTTGGTTTTCTTCTAAGTTGTGTTTCTTCAGTGAACTTAAGATTAGATTGACCTTCACTTTTCAGAAATGTTGCTTTTTAACTCTTTATTTCTATTGCTTGCTCAATGCTTGTGATTGTTTAACTGTTGTATTTTATAATTTGTTATGCAAAATAACAGGGGCAGAAAAACATCACTATGAGCCCACAACATTGGGCAATTTTTGATCCCTTGTCCCTATGTGTAAATTAATGGTAGTATCATTTTAATGTGTATTATGTCTCCCTGTGGTAGTAGCAATGATTTGGTGTGAGTGCTTTGGTTAATCAAAGTTTCAGGTTAATAAATGTGTCATGGATTTTAGAGATTCAGAAAATAGTGAAAATACACTTTTTTAACCAATCAAAACATGGTATTTTTTTGATGATGCAGAAGATTGTTCAGAGTCTCATATAAATTTATCTCCATGTTTATCAGTTAAGGTCATATTTGGGAAACATTTATGGAAACCATTAAAGGTGTGTATCTGAGTCATTTGAGCTAAGAGAAAGAACATTCTCTCACAGTGAGACTCAGGTTACCTCAGTCCCAAAGCTCCAAAACCGTACAGGAGTTTCTCTGAAAATCTTTTAATAAAACTCTTCTTACACAAGTGTTTTGGCAACTGTATCCCTTACTCCATGGTATCTTTTTATATTTTTTATCATTGTACCTGTGCACAGTTGTCTTGAAATTTTCTGTGCCCTGAGTGGGATGGCACAGATGGCAATTCTTCAGCCTGCTTGCTGATGGTGGAGACACAGAATATCACTCTTCATTTAATATTGGGTGCTCCTGCAAGACTTAGATGATTTTGTTTATTTATAGAGCTTAATTTTTAGTATTAAATAGAAATAGTGTCATGACAAATTTGGAGTTCTGTGACACTCACTTGTTTTTGGTTTTGTGGATGAGTGTCTATCTGAGGCTTTTATTTTGTTATTGTGGTTCATTGTTATGGTATGGAGTAGCATTTCATTTTTTAAGGATGCTTATGACCTTGTTAAATGGCTGTCCAAAGATGGTGTGGCTTGTTTTGATTTTAACCAAAGTTACAGCTGCCTAGCTGTAAAGCAGTCAGTTTCTCTTATTATGACTAGTTCTTCAACTTGTACTGTTTTAAATTGCCTGCAATTAGCATATTTCAACCTTATTTTTAGGTTTAAATTGCAGTGTGAGAGTGTACTCTCCTCTTAGCTAATTAGTGCTATCAAGGAACAGTAGGTTACCTCATTAGTACCATGTGCATTTAATTAAAGAAGAGAAAATTGGAGTTAACCTCATAGTTAATATTTTCACAGAGTGCTACAATGCCAACACCTTCAATTGGAGTCACACCCCTGTGTATCTAATTATGCACTGGTGCCAAATAAGGTTAGCAAGGGTACTACAAGGCTGTTGACAAAATAATTTAGATGAAAATGTGTTTGTGGGATTCTGGCAGTCAAATATAACTTGAACATCCCCTCCTCCCCATCTCCACCCCGCCCCGGCCAGTCTTCATCTGCCAGCATCAAGTGACATCCTTCTTCATAAGACACAGAAAGAAGGGGATATTTTGGAAGCCATTTTTCCTCTTTGAATTCATATTCCTTATGTCTTGAAGAAAATGGCATAGAGTCATGTAAAGCATCTACAATCCGTTTCTTAAACACAGCCCCTGAACTTCAGAGATGTATTTGAAAAGAATTATTTATAAGATGTAATATTTACATGCATCAAACCACTACAAATACTCCCTGACACCCTTACCACGTCCCTCCTTGCTTTTCTTCTTGCCTGGTATAGCTATAATTTCCCTTGTGTATCTTGTGAATGGGGATCATCCTTTCATATCATACGTGAAGTCTAAGGATGTGTTGTCACATGGTCTATTCAAATGCAGTGTAATCCTTTTGCCCTTCAGACAAAATCTTTGAAATGTCTAATGCTACTTAGGTAAAAAATGACATTCCATGTCATTTATCAATAAATAATCACTTTGCTTTTATAGATAAAAATGCAAACCATACGTTTGGGTATATAGAGTAGTTTCCAATGCAAATGGGGAGATTCAACAGGTTTTAACAGAGATGATGGAGCTTATCCCCATAGTCTGAGATATATTTTAATGGTAATAAATGTGGCATAGTAATACATAGAAAAGGCACTTTATTTAAAGAGACTGTGTTTGTTCTCACATTACATTCATAGGGTCTGTGTTCATTGGTATGGTTACAATTGCTACACTTAGAGGTTAGCCTTTTCAAAAATAAACAGAGGTAACTAGGTTCTAAAGACAAACAGCATTTATATGCTCTAAAATTTAAATTTATATTATTTTTGAATATGAGGCATAATTTCAGTTTAGAATTAGAAGGTGAAGTTCCCTGGACAGAATCATATATAATCTGTGAACTTTTTTTATTATTGGTTAATTCATCATGATTCACCTAGTCACCGTCTCACCTGCCATATTATTCCTGTTTTTAAATTTTGTATTAGTTTTAGCTATGGTATAAGGATGGAGTAGTCTTATCTATGTTGACATACCCATAATCCTCCAAAATAATTTTAAGAAGTGATAATGTACCTTATTAGCATAAACCTTACACTTGGAAAAAAAGCCAACTCCTGATTCTCTTTGTTCAATCCAGGAATTGCTTCCAGAAACAAAATTATGTGTCTGTGGCCACTCTTCTGGTGATGGGCATCCTCACAACACATTTGCAGTAAGTTACATGGGCAATTAGAAATTCAGCTACTGAGCACAAGGCCATGGACCCAATTCTACTAAGTAGATTATCTTTGATTTTCTACAGCCAATTCCTTCCATGGGTGCAGATAATCAAGAGATAACTAATGTTAAGATACAGATGTAATTAGTTGGTTTTCTGTTATTCCTAGTGTTCTCACTTCAGTTATGTTTCTTGAAATATACAGTTCACAGTTTCTGAGTTGATGGCAATAAATTTTATCTTAATTATATAAAGGCTGAAGCACCACTACACTTTTCTTTAACTTTTAGGAATAATTTAATGCAAAAATGCTGATGCACAGAAAATAAATGGATAGAGATTATGGATTGAACCAATATATGATTTAGAGGAAAATTACTGTCCCATGTTCTACAAGTTGCCATATATATATGCTAAGGCCTATTTTCCCCACACATATTCAGCCAGTGGAGTGTAACTTGTCTCTTTGGACTATAATATTCAATGAAAATTGCTTTTTTGTCCCAATTTACATACCAATTAGACTTGGAAATGAATAATAATCCTGAAGGGTCCATTCAAGAATTTTTTAAATAGAGCAACTTAATGTTTTAATGTTTCTATTTAGCATGGAAGCTACTTGCGTTCTTAAGAAATCTCTAAATATGAAAAGTCACATATTTTCATAGTTTTTTTATTTTTTGGTTGTTTCCTTAAGAATTGATGTACTGATTTAGTCTCAGCGTGTTGAAGTAGTACTAAATTCACTCACCCAAAATTTATTTTTACTACCATTTTCATATTTCTGAACTATAATTAATAAAATGCAACACAATTAGATTCTTAGAAACAAATAATCAGTGTCTTTCTGAATGAAGAAAGATCTAATTCGTAACATAGTTTAAAAAATAATTTTGTATTTAAAATTGTGTCAACATGAAGCATCATTATTTATAGAAGATATGGAACTTTTTTTAAATGCTAGAGGCAATACAAAAGTAAACTGGGAAATGGAAACAACAGCTTAACACTATTCTGTAGAAACAGTGAATGTATGATACTGAGAATAAATTTCATATGTGCACGTTTCCTGATAATTTTGAATTATCTGATTTGAAGTTTTACTCCTTTTAGTCCTCAAATATTTAAGTCATCTGAGTTTTCTTTGTAATAATATTTGAAAAATGTAGCAAAAAATGTAAGAATTGTGGTTAGTTTTGCTGAACGATGGTATTACATTTATGTGAAAAGCTAAAATCACGTTAATATGTTAATGTCTGAGCATTCTCTATGTAATTTAAAGGAAGATAGATTCAATGTAACTTCAAACATGATTGTATATTTTAATAAGACCAATCCAAAAATATTTTAAAAATAAGGCATAGAAATGAAACAGTATTCCTAACTGGTAACACTTTTTCTAAAAGAATCCCAATGGAAAAAATTATTTTCACTAGCCTGAAGAATAAACTAGCTTAACAACCAATAGTGTTGGTTCGTTATCTCAAACTAATTCTAGCATAAAAAAAAAAAAAATAGCCTGTTCTGCTGACAAGAAATTCATGGCATCAGGTATTTACATGTCACTGACATTTTTAGAATGAAATGAGACATGGAGAAATTAACCCAGCAGAAGCTCTGTAATTCCTCAGTGGCAAGGCCGTATTTGTAGCTCAAGTTTGTGATCACCAGCGTGCAGGTCTTTCCAGAGGCATGCCACACTGGTCACGGTTGCCCTGAGTGCTGTGCTGATAAGAGTCTGAGTTTGCTCCCAGCATCCAGACTGCATCTGGTCTCTAGAGAAAGAGTACTAGGATGGGTCTGTGAGGTCAGCTGTGGCTGATGCAAGAGGAGGAGCACGGTAGTGCATGGACCAGGCACTGACCATCTGTGTAGTGTGCCAAGCTTATTATCTCAAATTTGTTGCAAAGTAACCATACGAGTGGTGCTTCTTGGCTTCACAACACAAAAGAAACATTTTTAAATGTTAGTAAGTAGTTGATTTTTTTTATTAATTACATTAGATTAAAATTTTTGCAAGGTGAAATGGCTACTTAATATGATTTAAAATCAAGACACAAACCAAGGCAAATAGTATTGTTCATCATTGACAATATTTGTGCGATAGAGATGGCTGTCTTCTAACATTCACCAAATTTTAAAAGCACAGTATGCCCAATAGAACTCTACTAAACCAGAGCACCAAAAGATTACTGGTAGGCTAAATGGAAGAAAACGATGTAGCAAGAATAGATAGCAATAGCAAAAGCCACCCACATGCCTTTATTTTCTGTGTAACTGACATTTATAACAACTTGTGAATCACTATATTAATTCTCAAATAGTTCTTCCTAAGAAACCCTACACAATGCCTATCCATAGATTAGTTTAATATCACCCATATTTCCATGATTGAGCAACCTTCACAAATACTAGGCCAGTATTCTCAGATACGTGCTCGAATTAGCATATTAGTTTTTACTCTCTCCTTCCCACATCCACTTCATTTAAAAAAAATCTTTCAGGTTTATTCACAAGCTTGAAATAGAGTGTTGCCAACTCCCAGGATGGAGGAGTGGAGATGGGTGGGATGGCAGGGGGAAGTCACTTCCAATTGCCAGGTGTAGGTTAAAGCTCAAATTGCCTTAACAAAATGAATAATGTTACAGATATAACATTAAATATGTCTTGAAAGCTCTCTGTTATACCATCCTCTCTCATGTAGTAATTTTATCAAGTTCCTAACAAAACATTCAATAAAAATATATTTCACAGGGATATTAACTTATGTTCGGCTTTATTGGTAACCATCAGACATTGGCTATCCTGTAAGTACTGTGCCTCTCTGATATCACATTTTTGAACAAGTGATATTCTTATATACAAAACAAATTATATTTATCATATCTTCACCAATTCACTGTAATACAGGACTGAACTACACCCATTGATATCACATGTACCTGAAAATTATTGTGTTAAATTCTATCTACCATGGTGTTTGAAAGAAATATTTGGTCTGTATAGGTTGTATATTTAGTGTTCTAAGAGTAACAATACAATATCCTTACAATAACTTTGAATTTCATAAAAAAGAGTACATTTTTGCCTTATGAGAAAAGAGTATCAAGCGATTCATTGTGAGAGATTAGTTTTTAATGCTTTTCACATTCATTTTTAAAAATGGAGTCAATTTTATCTGTAATCTGGAAATATATCAGTTATTTTACTTTACTTTTAAATGTTAATACAAAGATAGATGCCTTATTTTCTTTTTCTTTTTTCCCCACTACATCAAACAACTTTCAAATGGTGAACTCCATAAAGATCCTAAATTTCACAGTCTTTGGCTTCTCTAAAAAAAGATAGGACCCCAATTTCACTACTTCTTAACTAGACCTTGTTGATACCTCATCTGCCTGAATGCCCTCATTAACACCTACTTGAAGACAGTTTTACTGTCAGCCTTGTCTACAGGTTTTTACACATAAATAACTACTGTCCTACATAGGTTTCTGCCTGTTAGCTGGAACTGCTAAGGCAATTATGCTGAATGGTTAGGGCCATTGCTTTTTGGATCTTATTTTTAAAACCTTTAGCATTGGGCCAAATGATTCTTTTCATGAACAAAATATGTTGGACCTGTAAACTAAATATAGGATTTAGCTGGCATTGGTCCAACTGGTTTATATCCCATTCAGACTACATTACATTGACCACATTTGATCTTTCTCCCTGCGGGTTTTACTCTGTTCTGATTGCCTTCTGAATGTTTCATTTTGATGGGGATTATGGATTGGAAGAAACGAGGAAAGGTGGATAATGATGATGTTTGAGGACCTCTTTTTTTTCTGTTTTGATTTTGTCTCTCTCTTTAGGATTACATAAATCCTACTCAGCACCCAAATAGTCCCTGCCACAGGTTCCAGAGTCAGACTGTGGGATTAAATATTCTGGATTAAATATTGGAGAAATTATTAGACCTTTCTTAGTATCATGTTCCCAACCAGTAATATTAGAACAAAAATTGCACTTACCTCATAGGGTAGTAGTAGAAATTAAATTTGATAACTTTAAAGAGTACTTAGTATGTTGCCGAACACATTGTAGGTGTACAATAGGTATTGTTTTGTATCTGTAGTGCCATCAATATTCCTGTGTTTGTACTAAAGAGGCAATTCTCCTTGAAGTAAATTTAACACTAAAAGTAGCATTGGGCATGGTACCTTAGGTCATGCTAAGACAGAATTCAGCATTCTGCACAGTGAGGAAATCCTTCCCCCCTCCCCAAAGATTTACCTATTTATTTGAAAGAGTTACAGAGAGAGGAGGAGAGACAGAGATCTTCCATCTGCTGGTTCACTCCCCAGAAGAATATAATGGCCAGAGCTGAGCCAGGCAGAAGCCAGGAGCCAGGAGCTTCTTCCACATCTCCCACATGAGAGACAGGGGCCCGAACACTTGAGCCATCTTCTGCTGCATATCCTAGGCCATTAGCAAGGAGCTGGATCAAAAGTGAAGCAGCTGGGAAAGGCACCTGCTCCCATATGGGATGCCGGCATTCCAGGCTGCGGCTTAACCCACTATGCCAAGCCCCAGAAATCCTTTATATTCATCAATTTCAGGTGAATGATGACTTATTTACTCACAAAAATCAATGTTATTGCAGTGTATGTATGTTTGAGAAATTTTTATTTACTATTATGATGATTTTGATACTATGGTACTTCAATAAAATTAAATCAGTTAAGATAATATTTCAAACACATTACAACTGATTTTGTTAATGCCATAAAAATAGTGACTATGGTTGGGTCTACTGTTAAGAACTTTCCAGGCCGGCGCTGCGGCTCAATAGGCTAATCCTGGCGCCGGCACCCCGGGTTCTAGTCCCGGTCGGGGCTCCGGATTCTGTCCCAGTTGCTTCTCTTCCAGGCCAGCTTTTTGCTGTGGCCTGGGAGTGCAGTGGAGGATGGCCCAAGTCCTTGGGCCCTGCACCCACATGGGAGACCAGG